GCATCCCTCTGCAAGCCAGCTGAAGTCCTGTGCTGAAAGAGCAAGAGGCTTTTGCCTGGGACTTGCACAAGAAGCAGCGTGCTGTGCAGGAGGGTGCCTGGCAGAGCAGCCCAAATCCAGAGCCCAGAAGGGATGGAATTGTGGCCAGTGCCCCATGCATGAGCTCTGGAAGGGCCCTGTGCCACACTGATCCATGATCTCTAGCTCTGTCCTGGAGGCTGATGCCTCTGCCATCCCTCACCTTCATGACAGCCATGGACCATTGCAGGGCACAGAGATCCTCCCAGCTTCCTTTCCAAGGTGTGCCACCAAGCAAAGAAATTTACTTATTTAATAGGCACAAAATAAAATAGTAAAAAGAGTAATAAATCATCAGAGATTAGGACAGTCAGCTCAGGAGAAGAGAAAGCTGGGGTCTTGTTGCTCATCTAAGAAGCATTTATTCATTTGGCTGTGGACAGCCACCTAAGAAAACACATCAGACTGCAGGAATTAGACACCCTAGTTCTTCCTCCTCCACCAAATTAGAGTCTGCAGAATTAGAAGGAGACCTGTTGCCAGAGGGGAAGACACCGCAGCAAAACCAGCAGCCACCTGGAAGGTAAACCTCCAGAGATGTTGGAGATGTGATGCCCCACGGCCAGGCTGGAGAAAGAAAGTCTCATTGCCAAAGCTCAGGAAAGGCCTAAACTAAGGAGCTGCCAGGAAAAGTGGGGACTTCTCCTCAGATGCTTTTGCTGGTGAGGATGGCAGCTAAGTGACAGCAGCTGGGCCAAAGGGTGTCTGCCAGCTTTGGGACATGGAGATTCTTGGGAATGGTGTCCCACACAGCCCCAAAGTCCCTCCCTTTTCTCAAGGCAGAATCGGCTCCTGACTAGCTCGGGTGAGGAACAGTGAGAAGCCAGGGATTTCCATCACCACTCTGGCTAGGCAGGCACTTGGAGGATGCAAGTGCTTATGTTCCATCTAAGGTCCTCTTCAGACATCTAAATCCTTCCCCGTATGTGGCCTTCACTCTGGAGCAGAATATAAAGAACCACAATAAAGGAACAGAATCACATGAAAGTACACGGCCATTGCATTCCTGGTTCAATTGTAAATACAGTAATTTAAAATTAAGTGTTCTTGGCTGAATCTTCTCTCTGGTTCTCTCACCTGGGCTTCTTCTCATACTTTATATCAAAATGTACATGTCTATGTAAATATGATGGTGCCTGTGTCTCCTTCTGTAGTGCTCATGCTCTTGTTTTTTTCTTGAACAGCTCGGGGAGAAAGCCATATGCTGGACTAGAAGTGCCCAGAGCCAAGCATGGCTCCCACGTCTGTTAGGTTGTGTGCCCAAAGAGGGAACCCATCACTGCAAGACAAACACAGTTGTTTCTCCCACACCAACTGCATCCCTTCAGTGTTCCCCACGTCAACGTCAAAAAAAGTTGCCAAGTGCGACAGGCCACTGCCAAGCCAGTCCTTCTGTAGCTCTGGAAATTAAAATGAAGCCATTAAGTTTTTAATCAGAAAGCATATATTATACCAAGTACCACAAAATTGCAGAGATGAGCTAGTTCTCCTCTTTTTTTCTTTTTTAATACAATTAAGATGTTATCAGGCCAAAGTACAATATTGCGGTATCCTGGCCAAAGTGAAAATCTTTGAAAGCAGCATTTATTTGCCACCAGAACCACAAGCTAATAATGCAGATTACGTGCCGTGCCCATCTGTTGCTTTTTCTAAGTTTTGAACAAACCCATGAGGCCGTGTATTGTAAGGGCATTAACAACCCCAGACACCATTATCAGCAATGTCTAGAGCCTAAAATTTATACTCCACCAGCTATATCCCCCTCCCACCCTGCCCTTCAATATGCTTTCCTTCTTTGTTTCTCTTGTAATATAAAGAATTCACATCCTGATAACACACTGCCAACTTATAGAATTGATTCAGACCAAACATTCAAATAAGAAAAACACCTCAACCAAACTTCAGACCTGAGTGTAAGACACAGGCCCATTCATGAGACACAAAGCCCATGTTGCCCAAATTACCTGCTGTGTAAAACATGCTCTCATGACTAACTGTGACACTCTCTTCTCTGGAACTGTGCAGCCTCTAATAAACTTACCACTCCACAAACTACCAGGGAGCCAAAATATAAAGGAGGAGAAGGCTACAGCAGCCAGGGCTCCTGCCTGTTGTAGCACCCTGCATGAGGCTGTCCCGAAGTCCTACCAAGCATGACCACATACAAAGCCACTCTGGAAGAGCCATTTATGAATAAGGTTCATATATGGGGTATGGTGCAAGAAGCAAGTTGAAGACCGAGCACGGGTATTAAAGCATCCTTTCACACTGACAGATCCTGAAATCTAGAAAAAGAAAAGAAAAAGAAAAGAAAAATCCGCTGCCCAATGCGCTCCTTGATTTCTTCTGCCTGAAGAGAGGATCCCAAAAGCTGTGTCTGCAACTTCATGTTAGTCTTTTGTTCTTTGTAACCAGCTATAAGGTTTTGCCTGTGTTTAATAATGCTAGGGCTCAAAGCCATATACCAGAGAGACAAGCAAAAGCCACCTTCAGGTAGTATTTTGCACATCTTCCATGTGTACATTACAAATAACAAGAGACAGTAAACAGCATCACGTGCATCCAAATTCTAGAGCTTTTGTTGACAGGAAACCTCAATAAACAATTAAATGGCTATTGATAAGAAGAATCCTTTCCTTTTGAAGGCAGTGATTGCTTACAGTCCAAGTTTCTTGTACTTCTAACTATCGAGCAACAGCTCCAGCACTCGCCTCCTCTGGCCAATCACGCCTGGTCACACCTGTCTTTTCACATTCTCGGTTTTATTCATTATTTATGTTTCTCTTTACACAATACACCCACAGGACAATACATCTCCAGCATGCTCACGATTTGATCCAAAGCTCACTGGAGTCAACAGAATGACTTCACTGGCTCTGGAGCGAACCGAGGGCCCCAGCTCCGCAGACGGGCTTCCAGCCTGAGGAGGGACTTACGCACAAGTCAGGCATCCCAGCCCAAAGTGCAATTCCAAAATCCCTAACCCTTTAGCTGCTCGTCTCTGAACAAGCCAAACTCTCCAAAACCCTGAACCATTCAGGGTTTTTTTCCCTCCAGTTATCTGTTTTGTGAAAAAAGACCCCCACAGCACTAACAAATCCTCTGTAGTGATCCATGAACTAGGGGCTCAGGGGATAGACCTGCCTCTCCCAAGTGTGGTCCCAACAACCAAGTGCTGGAACCATGCTGTGTGTATGTGTGTATATACATAAGTGTGTGTCTGTGTATGTGTGCCTATTTGTATATAATACACAGACACACACACACACACGCACATTTTTTGCTCCCCCTTCTGGCCCCATGAATCTTGATTTTTTTTTTTTCTTCTTGATGGAAGCAGAGGAGAGCAGGAGAATAATCCTGCCTCCAGTGTGACTTGTAGGCAGGGATCAGCAGCACTCCTCTGGGAGGTGCGCAGTGTGGATTCCTGCTGAGAAAAGGGCCCCAGAGCCTTGCTCCCTCTGTTATAGCAGCAGCAGATGTCCTCTGCATCCCTGGACACGAATCCCCTTTAGTCAGGCAGGTTCACCAGCAGGGAAGGCAACACCTTCATTTTTTAACAGAGATGGCCAATGCAGGCAGCACATTATTTAGCCTAACGCTGGTTTACCAAGAGACCCAGTGCTAACAAACACCAAGCTTGAAAAACATGTTAACTGGGAAACATACATGTAATTTACATTTTTCTACACACACCTCTTAACGGTGTGCTGTGTAATTGAGTCAGCTTTCTGTATTTCACAGGAGACCAAACCTGAAATTGCCAGTGTCCTGCCTAGCTGACCTCCATTTCCAGGTGAGTTATGCCAGCTCTCAACATAGGTTTCTTCTTCAGTATAACTTTTCCCATTTCTCCCTCCAAAACAGTAATATCATAAGCTCTACACATACAACAACAGGTTTAGTTTGTGGGAGAGCAGCTGGGACCACATTTTGTTCCAGTACATCAACTAATAAAGGCAAAAAGGAACCAAATACCCTTCTAATTCAGTTACTTATTCTGGAAAGAGAGGGAGAGAGGAAAAGGAAAAGCTTTTAACCGACTACAAGTGAAAAAGCTGTCCATTTTCCACAGTGGAAAGCTTCCCTTTCTAGTTGATGCTGAAGCCTGCCCCAGACAGAGGCGATCTCTACCCCAGAAACACAGCCACTCATCAGATCAAACAAATACTCATTTTCCAGAACAATCCCACAGACACGTCTCCCAGCACCTTTGTTTCATCTCAAGACAAAGATTTTTCACTCTAGACTTATTTTATCCCATAAAACCCCACTCCAGTGACAACCTCAGCTGCAGACACTGTCACTGATGGCCACCTGCTTGCTGGCAACACCAGGATCCCATGTTTGTTGCACACTAGTCTGGTACATCACCCCTCACAGGTCGGGACACTGCAGGCACACACACACAGGTGGCCCCTTCTGTCCCGACACTGCCTGGGACCTGCCAAAATGTGTGTGTGCCTCTTCTGCCTGGCAGCTGGATGGGCATCTCTGCTGCCCCCTCTCACCCCACTGCACGACCCTGCCTAGGCTAGGAATCTGCCTTGGATAGGAACCTGCCTTGCTTAGGAACCTGCCTTGGCTAGGAACCTGCCTCCGTTCTGCCAGCAGGTGAGGGTGGCCAGAAGAAGTGGCGAACACAGGAAAGTGGAGAGCGCTGATGAAGACAGAGCCTTGCTCACCCCTTTTGCTCACCCCTTTTGCTCACAAGCTGTAGTAGTTCTCACCTCAAACCACTCCACCCTACCCTGCATGGAGGTGAAACTTGACAACTGGCAAAAGGCCTGCACTGCTTTGGCACATCTCACTGCAGACACCCCCTGGGCAAACCTTTTGCTGCCACGAGTGCGATCCCGGGCACTGCCCAGCCTGGGGTCCCACCAGCCACGGGAGAGGAACCGAGCAGTCGGGGCACTTACCCAGCCTCCGTTGTCCTGGATCCAGTTGTGCAGCTGCCGGTTCAGGTACTCGGTCATCCAGGCGGCGATGCTGTCCACGAGGTGAGACATCTCCCGGTTGACGCTCTCCACGCACATCACACCGCCAAACTCGAAGAAGGCCACAATCCTGCCCCAGTTAACCCCATCTCGGAAGAGCTCCTCCACCACCGCCACGAAGCGGCTCCTGGCCGTGAGGGGCGTCAGGTGCAGCTGGCCGGACATCTGGGCGAAGTCCCTCTGGTAGCGTCGGGAGAACTCGTCCCCCGCCTGGCGCAGGA